AGACATAAAATGATAGAACTGAAAGGGATTTTAATTGGTCATCTAGTCCAGTAATCTGCACTTACGGCAGGACTAAGTATTATCTAGACTATTCCTAACAAGTGTTTGTCTAACCTGTTCTTAAAAATGTTCAATAATGGAGATTCCACAGCATCCTTAGGCAATTTATTCTAGTTCTTAAACACTATGGGTATGTCTACACTTGCAGCCTATTTCGGAATAGGTCTGCAAATGTAAGCATTCAGAATTGCAAATCAAGCCCAGGATTTAAATATCCCGTGCTTGATTTGCATTTTCCCAGCCAGGTGCCATTTTTGAAATTTACAGCCCAGAATAACTGCCCGCGTCAACACGCAGCAGTGAAACGGGCGTTTGAAATAAATCCTTATTTCGAACTACTCGTTAAACCTCATTGCAGGAGGAATAACAGGTAGTACAAAATAGGGCTTTATTTCGAATGCACATTTCACTGCCACGTATAGATGCGGGCAGTTATTCCGGGCTTGTAAATTTCAAAAAATGGCGCCCGGCCGGGAAGATGCAAATCAAGCGTGGGATATTTAAATCCCGGGCTTGATTTGCAATTCCGAATGCCTACATTTGCAGCCCTATTCCGAAATAGACTGCAAGTGTAGACATACTCTGTGAGATTTAGGACATTTTTCCTAATGTCTAACATAAAACTCCTTTGCTTCAGTTTAAGCCCATTGCTTCTTTTCCTGTCCTTAGAGGCTAAGGAAAAAAATTTTTTTTTCCCTTAATAACCTTTTGGGTTCTTGAAATCTATTAACATATCCCCACTCAATCTTCTATTCTCGACAATTAAACAAGGCCAGCGTTATCAGTCTTCCCTCGTAGGTCATGTTTTCTAGGTGTGCCATCATTTTTGTCACTCTTCTTTGGACTTTCTCCAATTTATCCACATCTTTCCAGAAATGTGATGTCTAGAACTGGACATAGTACTCAAGCTGAGGACTAATCAGTGCAGTCTAGAGTGGAGAAATTACTTTTTGTGTCTTGTTTACTCCTGCTAATACCTCCTAGAATTATGTTTGCTTTGTTTTGCAACAATGTTACACTGTTAAAACATATTTAGTTTGTGGTCCACTACAACCCACATGTCCCTTTCTGCAGTACTCCTTCCTAGGCAGTACGTGTGCCATTGATTATTCTTTCTTAAATAGAGTACTTTGCATAGTAACCTCAGGAGGTCATCAAGTCCAACCCTCCTGTTAAAAGCAGGACCAGTCCCAACTAAGTCCTTCTAGTCAGGGCTTTGTCAAGAGGTCTTAATAACCTCTAAGGATGGTGATTCTACCATCTCCCTAGATAACCCATTCCAGTGCTTCACCACCCTCCTAGGATGTGTCTAGACTACATGCCTCCTTCGACGGAGGCATGTAGATTAGCCAGATCGGAAGGGGGAAATGAAGCCGCGATTAAAATAATCGCGGCTTCATTTAAATTTAAATGGCTGCCCCGATCTGCCGATCAGCTGTTTGTCGGCAGATCGGGGGAGTCTGGACGCGATGCCCCGACAAAGAAGCCT